GACAACCCCGTAACAATATGCGTTTTGTACTGCTGTTACACAGCACAAAACGCATAAAAAAAATCAAAATTCCCGGAGCATGTTTTCCATTCATATGCGGTCCTTCGCTCTAAGGTACGCCTACGTTCCAAGTAATTCCTGGTAGGAAATTTTGCATCTTAGAAACCACATAACATATCAACTACTTTTCCGCACACCAAAGTATAAAGTATTGAAAATTCTTAACAGCAAACGTCCCCCGGGCGGAACAGCTCAAAACGCATTGTCGCATCGGTTATCCGTTGTGTGTCGTTGCTTCTATTTTTAGCTATTATAATTCAGTTTTTTTAGTTTTCTAGGTACAGTACAGCAACTCTTTTGCTCAACAACTTTTTTTTTTTCAAATGCCGCTGACATATGAAGACTAAAGTATAATTCTATACATATTTCGATACCGGCGAAAGACAGACGCGCCCGGAAGTGATTCAACTTTGTCAGCAGCAGCCGCCATTTAAAAAGACAACAGGTCCGCCTTACAAAATTACTCTAGATGGCATTCTTTAGTTTTCTGAGAAACAGCAAAATCAGTTTTCCAGTAGAACAAGCATGAAAAAATACCTTCAAATGCGGCGGGAAATGCTGAAAATTGCGCTGTTTGGCAATCATGACGCATACTTTCGGATACGCGCTCAGTTTTGTTCGACAGGCATTCAAAGCAACAGTGCCAAATGTCCAAAGCATAGTGCCGGGTTCTGCTTGCAGGGATTCAATTACCTTCCTCACTGCTGTTGCAAAATGTAATTTCCTAAACTTTCACTGTAAAAAATCCAAAAACGAGAAAACATAAGACAGTAGTAAAGCATTAGCGAGTTGGAGAGGCAGGAGAGGAATATGTGCTCTTTCCTAGTGGAAGACGCAAATGTCGCCCGAGTGGAATGAAAAATGCAGAGATTCGCATTCGAAGCAGTAAAGTTTTATTAGACGACATTAGACGGGATCAAAAACTCAAATAAGCTCTATGCACAAAAACATTTTAAAAAAACACCATGTTTAACTGAAATGGGCAGGAAAAGCAATCACAGCGATGAGTGCATCAAAAAGTCTCCATGACGCTGAAAGTGGACTTCATTCAACAAGCAGAAACTTACGAAATGACCCCTTCCCGAATGATGCTGCCATAGACTTCAGCAGTTGTGCGCAACTCTCGTTCGGGATATTCATGGAAAAACCGGTACTCCTCGAATAAATTCTTGATGACACAACCCAAAACGTCCTAGAACAGGAAGCATTTCAACAGAGCGCCTCAGGGGAGATATGGGATACCGAAGCTCGGGCTAGTGTAATACACTAATGATACCTTATCACGCTGCAAATTTGACGCTTTAAATTGTTTTAAGCGTTCTATAAAATCGGCCACCGGCATCTGCATGTGCTGTGAATAGATCTGCAATAAATCAGTGAAACATCTTTCAGACGCTGCATATATGCTCCACATTCGTCACAACTTAAGAATGATGCCGACTCGCTATCCACTGCTGTTCGCAGTAAAAAGCCTTTTCTAGTTCGGCTGGCTTCATTCGTGTATCGTACCAAAAGTGACTATAGTCCTGTATTTCTTTCAAACATTCACATGCATTGCAGAAGGCAAACAAAACAGGGAAGAGCAAGTCAGCACAGAACAACTATTTCATACAAATGTGTGTAGGTCAATTCTCTTGCAAAATTCCAAGCAGCTTGTCCCAACGCTCTATCACAAAGCACTGATAAGTCCTTGGGAATTTCAAGCTCTGCACTGCAAAGCAGAACGAATTCACTTCCAGCCGAGAGCACTTGAAATTGCATCCGTACGAGTATGTGAAATCCACTGGACAGAGCACAACGCCTGCCCTGGGTGGATGCAGCGCAATAGTGAGCCGTATCTAACAGTAAATAAAAGTTTACTGCGCAGTTCGTACATCGAGCAGGCGGTGGGTAATAATAGGAATAAACAGCCAAGAATCGAAAGGTCTGGCATAACTGCGCCCTGCCTCCGCATCCACTGCCTGAGTGGCCCTGTTAGTCTTTATATTCATTTTAGAAAAAAAAAAAAAAATCCACAAAACACTATCACGCAAAAGAGATGATCTACCTGTTGAAAGTACATATTCGCTTCATTCTGGATTTCCTCGCTAAACTGTACAGTTGACAAATCATCAATGGGCGCTGGCGGCAGAACCATTCGTCCCGGAGAGCTCGCACCCGCCGGTTGCTGATTCGCTCCAATGTGCCCAAACGAACCTGCCCCATTCAACATGCCTCCTAAACCAGACAAATGGTCACTCGTTACTCCTTCTCCACTGCCTTCACACCTTTCCCATGCAGACTCACTACAGTGTAACGCAAATGGTAAAGAGTGGCTAACCA